AGCTAATTTTCCCTGGCCATGTCTGAGAACATTAAAATACGTAAATTTTCACCAGACCTGACACGTGTGCAAAATTTCATGAGTTTTCGAGCATGTTTAGGCCCTCAAACGGCCAATTCATTTGCCGGAATAATAATAATAATAATAATAATAATAATAATAATCATAATAATAATAAATAAAATGTTAAATCTGCATGTTTTACACATTACAGCTGAATTACTACAGTGCATTTTTGACACGATCGATTCTTAATTTACTTAAGCGGTAAAAACATCTCCAGCATTTTTTTGATTACGATTCAAACTGGCATACAGTTCTTTTTTACAATTATTGGCCTGTAAGAAGTGAATGTAAAAGCTCCTGTGAGTGCGATCAGAAACAGCTGAGCGATCAAGTTCGTTGGTCAGAGAGAGGTTGGTCGGTGTGTCCGCTCCGCCGCTCTGCGTCAGTCAGTGCAAGTGATCAGTGCTTCAGTAGTGTGTCGACAACAGCAAAGTCCCATCGACCGGCCCAGGTCAGAGCCCCTAAAAATATTAAATATCACTCTTAATTTGCATATTTTATACATTCTTTACACTAACTGTGCAGCTCTCCGGGTCCAGGATTCTTGGAGGCGAACCAGCTCAACTCCTCAGAATAAAGTTGAGCAGAGTTGCTGGGTGAGTGTTTCTTTTTTCCTTCCTCAGCTGATGTTTCAAAGCTTTAATTCTCCAGGAAATTCTCCAAAACAGAAAACCGTACGTCTCCATTTGGTCCACTAGGATCACTTCCTTCCTTTGAGTCTCATTACAGCTGCTGGTTGTGTGCTTAGCATTTGAAAAAGCCCACTCTCCTGTGGCTGCTGCTTCTTATCCAGTGCAACACTGCCCTCAAACAGGATCTGACACAGCTTGAATTGAAATGACAAAACAAAACAGATGTACCCCCCTAAAAAAAAAAATATATATAATAATAAAATCATTTCCGATCGCGTTAGCTGAAGACTGAGAACGTCTCGTGTTTGTTCCGCTTTCCCGATTGCTTGCTGAGCTTCAGTTCGCTGATGCGGAGCAGATGCCGTCATAACAGCTTGTCAATCACTGCGACTCCTGAAACAACGAGACGACCAATCAGAGAAAGCAGATTTGCAAACAGGTAATACATGTTCAGCCCGTCACGTTCATTTCTCCCGGTACTGTAGAAATACTGCCTGCAAGGAGACCTACCAGCATAACTTCGTCCATTGCTCATGTTGGTGGGAATGAGGCTCCACTTGTCTGTGGCTGGGTTGTAAAACTCTACAGAGGACAGATTGCAGGACCCGTCATCTCCACCGATCACATACAGCAGCCCGTTAATGGCACAAACACCTGGGGGGGAGCAATGTAACATGTTTATTTTAAAGATCAGCACAGGAAATTTGTCCCATTTATCATTAAATGACCCAATTTACAAAATAATCAGCGTACACCACGTTTACGTATGTTTTATTAGCAATACAGGAGAATAAAGGTTTTTAGTCATCTCTTACAGATCCAATATCTTTAAAGCACAGGCCAGTAGAGTACATGAACATCTTAAAGCCAATCTGAACATCATGCAAGAAAATATTGTAAATATTTGTACATGTAAATCTAACAAATGGCTCTCTTACCCATAAACGGCAGCTGAATAGTTATTTATTAGTAACAATTTAAATAACTCAAGGACCAAAAAGAAAGGCAGTCATCAGCTTTTCAGAGGGAGAAATAAAGCTTTAGCCAGAGCGTGCGATGAATAGATCGATAGATGCTGTGACCGCAGTCTGACCTGCGTTTCGTCGACACATGTTCATGTCGCAGACCAGCCTCCAGGTGTTGGTCTGTGGGTCGTACACCTCCACACTCTTTCTCACCAGAGGACCGTCATGGCCTCCTGCTGCATACAGCTGACCACCCAACACACCCACACCTGGACAGAAATGTTTTTTTAAATAAATATCAGGAGACTGTGACGGTGAAATCCTCCAAAACCCCAAATATAGTGCAAATTCACCACAAAGGAAGAGCTTTAACAAAACAAGTTCTGATTTTGTTCAGATTGTTTTTACAAAGCAGTTAGCGTCCACCAGGGGGTGCTGTTTCTACCAGTTAAATGGTTAGAAAAAGGCCAATTCGCCATCATAGAGCGGGATGATTAGATGCTTCTAATACTGATATTACACAACACATTATGATCAGAGCATGTGAGCATTCGCTTGGATCCCACTGATGGAAATTTCTATTTTTCCTGAATACTAAGGGTTGAGCTGTGATGCTGCTCCCTGTGTGGATGTACAGTAGGCAGGATACAGTGTGTGGTACCTGCTCCACTTCGCCGTGTGCCCATCTCAGCTACATAGCACCACTGATTAGAGACTGGGTCATATTCTTCCACTGTACTGAGACACTGGCGTGATGCACCATCATAACCCCCTACTGCGTACAGTTTACCTACAGATAAACACAAACAGGTTAAAAACACTGCATATACATATTTAAAGCTTGGATTTTCATTCTGATGGCATAAAAGGTAGCTGACACACAAGTCACTCTTACCATCAACCACCCCTACACCCACGCTGCTGCGTCTGGTGTTCATGGAGGCGACGTACGTCCACTCGTTGGTTTTATAGTTGTAAACCTCGACTGTTGACAAACCTGAGACACAGATGCAAAGAAAGAAGGGAGAGATGTAGAAATGGGAAAGACTGGAAGCGAAGGTCTGCGGTAAAGGGTTACAGAGTGCGTTATCACATCAGTCTGTGAGCCTTCTACACCCAGCTGGTAGATGTGTTGTGAGAAGAAAATGGATCTCCTGCCTCCTGTGTTTTAATGGGGTTTAATAGAGCATAAGAGCGCTGTGCCACTACAAGCAAATGTATCAAATGAGGAGAACAGTCAGATGATGATACCAAGGAAAAACAACTTCTTTTCTAAAGGGAAAAGATTTTTCTTCACTTGCATAGAAATTTACCTTAATTTCCTTCAGTATAATCAGTATTTTTATATTAATTGAAGGCAGTGCAATGAGATCCCTGTGAGCAGCAACTGGATGTGTGATAGTTCTCAAACTGCAATAATGTGACAAATGTATCTGTTCCGACTGAAGTTTACTAAACTTAAAAATGTGTTTGAGTTACCAACAGGCACATTATGCATAAACCCACTGCTATTAATAGCTACATGCATTATGTGTACCTATGCTTCCATTAAAGCCTCCCACAGCATACAGTAAATCGCCCAGCACAGCGGCTCCCAGCGTGCTGCGTCTCTCCTGCATGCTCGACACCGCACTCCACTGGTCTCTTGTGCCGTCGTACACGTCCACCGTACGCTCCCGCAGCGAACTGTTGAAACCTCCAACCGCAAACACTCGGCCCGCCATGGAAACCACACCTGGGAAACAAGACAAAGAATTTGGGGATGAGATCCTAGCTTGTTAAATTTAAACGCAGGTTTCCAAAAGTCATTGCTTCTATGAGGAAACCACAAGAATGTTTAGAAACCAACATGTCAGAAATGCACAAAGTCTGTCTTGAATCCTTGTGTCTTTAACAGTCTTTGTTACACCCTTGCTGAACCTCCTTCATAGGACTCTACTAGACCACAGCTGGTCTGCTGCATTGTTCTACTGATTGGTTCTCCTTCTTTCAATGCTTTTGGAGTAGGGCTGTGCGATATGACCAAAATCTCATATCCCGATATAACCCCGCTTTATTGTGAAAGGTTTATGTGGAACATAAGCAAGCAGACACGCGAAGGTGTTACCGTCGTTGTTGCGAACCACAACGCACAAAAACAGGTGCTTGTAGTGTGGTTATATTAAATATAAGAGAAAGAGAGAACTTTAAGAAATATAGCCACTACAGTGACATCAAAACCATGAAAAAATATTGCTGTAAACCGTTTATTTTGCGACACGACGAAACAAACGATAGCGTAAAATGAAACGACAGATGTTTTTATATCGTCATATCGAACAGCCCTATTTTGGAGTGCAGGAACCAAAACCATAATAAGTTTACAGAACTTTTTGGGGCTGTTTTATCTGCTACTACAGAGTCAGTAGTTTTGGTCCATACATATATGTAGGCTTGAGTAATCTGGATAAAGCAAAACTAGTACAGGTGTACATGTATATAGATTAATCATTGAACATAAATACAGCACAAGCCACCAGCATTGCAAAAAGATACATGTAAACCTTAAAAAGTGCATAAATAAGGAAATATTAATGCACCGTAAATTGATCCTGTATAATATACATTTTAATCTGGTATATAAGACCATATATTCCTGTCAACATAGTACAGGGCATCCAACACACTGCAAACAAATGTAGAAATAAGAGGGGAGAAATAAGGTTTGGGCGGTACACAATTCCCTGGGAACAGTGCAGACAGTCCCCAAAACTGATTGAAATGCAGCCATTATTTCTATTTTTCCATCAGAAGTGCATTTGCAGTGTTATCCAACCCGCTGTTTTCAGATGTCACTAGACACGCCAAGTAATGAACTAACCTGCCCGGCAGCGTCTAGAGGGCAGATCGGCCACTTGGTACCAACGATCTTCCTGGAAGTCGTAACACTCCACGCTGCGGATGGCTTTGGGAGCCTGACCACCCACTACAATCATCACCTGCACGTCCACACAGACCCACAGTAAGAAAATACAAGCGCACACGTGTATTTTATGTTAAAAACCTTCAGCTTTGGCACATTTCTGCGTGTACCTTTGGGATGCTGATCGGAGTTCGTGGTCGCGTCCTATCAGTCTTTATGAGGTGACGCTGGTCAGCAGGCAACAGGTGATACTTCATTGCTTCTATGAGGAAATCTTTACAAGTGTTGTTGTTCTTTATCAAAGCTTCTTCCTCTACAATCTGAAACAGGGATCAGATTTTATTCAAGATGAAGATACACAGTAGATTTCTGTTGAGTACTCAGCCTTTCAGTCTCTGGAGGCATTTCTAAATGTAATAACTCCTTTCATCAAGTCCCTCTGTTGTTGCAATACCTGTTTAAAATGTGGCAACAGTGGCAGAGACATGAACACTACAGGTGGGAGGCGAGAGAAAAAAAATTACGTGGGAAACCGGTTTCTTGTGTGTGACTTGAGCAAAAAAAAAAAAAATCAGTGCTGCTGAAAGATTTGCATGTAGGCACACTAATTGTGGCAGCTGGCCCACAAACACGATGACTAATGTACTGCACAAAGACGAACAAACAGTGATTTATTTCAGCATCAACTCTTCTTAACATACTGTGATGAAAACCATTTGTAGCTGTGGGAGTGACTTTGTTATCCAACCTAAAGGCCAGAAACTAGTCTAACATCTTAGTAGAGCAGCGATTCCCAACTGGGACGAGCCATCAAGGTACGGCAAACAAAGCTATGAGCTGAATTTATTGTATATCACATTAACAGTGGGGCTCTCAAATGTAAAGCGGATTAAGAAACTAAACAAGCAAATCATTAACAATCAAATCAAGGACAACATAATGAAGGAAATGCTTGATACACTGGTGTGATGGTCAAAGTTGTGGGTTGGCCAGAGGAGATTTTTAGCTCACATAATGAGCGATAGCAGTCTTAGGTTTGAAAAAGCTCTTTTGAATATTCAATTATATCTGATGGCACGGCTGGCTGAAAGCCATGATTAACCCCCGTCCCCTGTTGGTCAAAGACCGATAATGTTTAAACAGAATTCGTTTTACCTGTACCAGGTAATCTCTGGAAAGCAGTGGAAGTCTCACATGCTCCATTAGTTTGGGCATGTATTCCAGACGAGCTGGTTTATCATGTTTGATCCACGATATCATTGCCTCGAACACCTAAGAACAAGGAAAAATATGAAGGATATGGAGAAACTGCTCCGAGGTAGAAGCGACCACAGCAGTTTATTACATAGACTCTCAGTTACTTTGTTTGGCCCCACTTTGTCTTTACAGGTGCTTATCTACATCAGTACTCCACTTTTTTTGGGGGTGTGTGAAAGTTTGAAAACTTTTGGGATCAAAAACTTTAAAACTGTGTCAAAACCTGTTGACACAAGCCCAATTTGATCCCATCCCCTTGAAGTTAAGAGGGCGTGACAGGGCGGGGGGGGGGGCTGCGTGCCCCTCACATTGTGCACAAAGGACTCCAGCGATGGTAGTTGAGATTAAGAGGACAATTGTTCAACTAGAACACAACCAGTACTGTACAAAAGTTTTGTAGCCGATCATTTCCATTGTTTTTAATTTAACGGTGCCTATGAATCATTCAAGCATGAAAAGGCTCACCCAACTCAAGGGATGCACCAGTTTTTCTCTAAACATAACAAACAACCTAGCAAAAAAAAAAACTGTTTTAAATCGCATCTTTACACAATTCATTACTAGAAAGCCTGTCAGAAATGCAAACACAATTTGTTCCCATTTCTTTAGCTGAATCTATGAAAAAACACCAAAGATAACAGTTTGATGTGCATAGAAATCGTGTTTTTCCACCAGTAGGGCAAATACCAAAGTGCTATTAGGTGGAAACCTAACTTATTGTGGCAGTATGCACTTCCAAGATGAGAGGAAACTAGTCCAATAGCAGAAATGGGCAACTGGGAGCTAAAAACTACCAGCAAATAAATCACTATCTGAAAGTTACGTCCTTAAGAAATTAGACAAAATCCAGCAAAAACCCAACTGGCCCTGTAGTTGAGCCAGTTGTTTGTTAAAGCCTCGTCAGAAATGGTGTGAGGGGAAGGGTGGCTGTTAAGAAGCCATTCTCATGGAAGAGAAGTGGACTGAAGACCAGTGGCAGCGGTTTTGATGAAGTGATGAATCCAAATTTAAATTTGGACTGGATTAACCAGAGCCCAAACCTCAACATTACTGAAGCAGTGTGGGATCATCTTGACACAACAGAACAAAAGGCAGCCACCAACATCCAAAGCCTGGAGAACTACTCCTGAAGACAACTCAGACAAGCTTTCTAGTAATTTCTTTAAGAGTCCGGCTGTTTAAGAATAAAGGTGATCATAGCAAATACAGACTGTCAAGCTCCTTTGTGTTTATACCAGTTCTGTTTTTGCCTTATATGCTGTATTTTTATATAGGATTGCACATTTCAATCCATCACTGCACCCATTTTCAATTTTCCTTGCAAAATATAAAGAAATAACGGCTGATGCAAGACTTTTGCACAAAGCAATAAAAACTATGCAATTTGGGTTATTCTCCTCTCAACTAAGAGGTTAGAGGGGGAACCCTGTTTCAATGATGCATGAACACTCACATGATGGAAGAACAAAGTCAAATTGAGACAATACACAAAAATGACCTCAAGAAGTTAATCCACTCACTTCATTTAATCCACTCACAAAACAGCTGCAGCAGGTAAATCAGAGCTAAATGACTGTGTCTGCTGATGCAGTTTGTTTGGCGCTTCATGGTTAGCGTGACAGCGTCCAACTCCCCGCGTTTATGTTTGAATCAACCTTTGCTGTCAGTGCTCTGACAGCAGCATGTCACACAGCTGCTACATCAAACTCTTGCTGTTTGACAGGTTAACTGCAGACAGATGCGCCATCCCCAGGAATATACGTCTGCTGTCAGATTCAGCCCATCATACACAGCAAGTGTGGGATGACTCTTTTTTTACTGTCCCTTTTTCTGAAGTCTGCTTTACTTCAGAGATTTTGTGATCACTGAAGTGAAAATCTGTTATGGATTTCATTTTCACTCAAGCATCTTTTAAAAAAATAAAATAAAATGAATAAAAATCTCTATCTTTATGGTGACGCCTGACCTTTTCCTCTGTTGACACGGTGAGTTTGTCGCTGGAGATGAGGCTGCACACCTGCTGCAGAGAAAGGCTCAGAAACTCCTCGCCCTGCACCACATCAGTAAAATGCTGCTCTGAGAGACACAAACATCCACAGCACACATTAAACACTGTCCCAGCAAGCGAAGCTTAAATGAAAACATGCTCGTTGTCTTTGCTGTCCAAGACACCTAATGTATTGCCTAGACTCGTGTCAGATTTTAAACACCTCATAAATCAGCCAACTCACAAAGTGACAGATTATGTGGCGCGAATAGAGAAAGAAAAAACAAAAATCTTACCAGCGTAAGCATGAGCCTGGTTGAGAAGCTGTGTGCATGTATGCAGGTCAGCAAAGGCTCTGATGCCCAAGCAGTTGGTGGGATGAAGCTGAGATTGCAGGAATTCGCAACAAACCTGACGCACATCCATCAGCTGGAGGAGGCTGGCTGCAGGCAGCAGTACCTAATATTTGGTTTTTTTTTTTAAAAGTCACAAAAAGTTGAGTTAGCAGTTTACCTCCACAGCTGTGTACACAACTCAAGACTTCATCAGCACAGCAGGTCTGTTATTCAGTGAGCTAATCAAACAAACTCAAACTCATCATTCAGGTTAGGAAGCAAACTGATACCCGGTAAGTTTATCAGTAGGATTAACTTTAAGGATCGGACAGAACTGAAGAAGCTTCTCGGATGAGAGGTGAATCGTCTTCAAGCAACTTAAAAAAAGTCCAGACGCTTTTCTTTGCAAGCTCCTTAAAGTAGAGAAACTCACATTTGGTTTTGATCTCTACTTTGAATGAGGAGCTACTAAACCACTTCCTGCAAGACTTTCAACTTGGTGCAAGAGCCTCTAAAACGAAAGGTCACAAACATGTCAGCTATGCTTGCCACTTAGAGTTTATAAACACAAACATCATGGATTTAACAATTTTCTTCAATTCTTCATCCCTCTATTTTCTTTACCAGCAATGAAAAATAAATAAATAAATCCAGCCCGGGACCATAATCAGCCAATAGCCATTGTCCTTGGTCCTGACCAGAGTCGACCTCATATATGATTACAAGCCAGTCCGATTCGTGCGTGCACAACACATACACGCTGACAGCCACGCGCCAACATGAAAGCTTCTCACTGGGCGTGAATACACAACACCGCACGGCGACGACCCCTAAACCACTTGAAACAACAAACCTAATCAGACACTTAAAATCACCTTCATCTCGCTGAACACTGACATCAACTGAGGCTAACAAAGGCTAAAGAAGCTAAAGCTATCCAGAGCTCAGAGCCAGGACTAAGACGGCAGCCTCGGTAAGAGCAAAGGCTCAAAGCAGAGACAAGTGAAAAAGAGAAAGAGCTTGATGTCTGCTGAAGTTAGGAACACTGGAAACATTATTCAAGTACCTGAAATTGATTTTGTTATATAAACCTGTTGAACCTGCTTCTGTTTGGTAGGTAAAAGTGGGTGTGCAGCAACTCATTTTCAGTTAGTTATGTGTACCTCTTTCCACTAAAGAAGATCCTGCAACTTACTGCAATTAGGGAGAAAAGCTTAGCCTTCACTGTAAATCTGCCTCCCTTTTTTTTGTTGTGTTAAAAACAAAGCAAGTCCTTATCCTTCACAGCAGAGCGCTTTCACCCCTCCTTGGCACGCCAAACGGAGTCCCTGTTTATCGCAGCTCAAATAAAGGTAACTAGAAAAGAGCTTTTTATCAACAAGATATAAATAAAGTCCTAAATAAAGAGTTATCTGAAAAATCTGGCTCCAGTCCGCCTTCTGCAGCTTTTGTTTGTATTGTGATTTTATTGTTAGAACACTAGATATTATGCTAAACTCATCACTGTGACATAAAGATAGACGAAAAAGAAAAAAGATTAATAAGACCAAATAAGAGTTTGCACACATTCAACTGGCAACACTTACTGCTTGATCAGTACTGACCTTGGCCGCTTGAAACTATTTTCTAGACCAGCCCTCATTTTTTTGGCTACGGCTATGTTTTTAAAACGGGTGCCAGCTTTTTGTCCATTTCAACATTTGTGACAAGCATCTAGGGAACTGCCGAGAAACTGATGCTAACAAAGCTACTCATTAGTTTAAGTAGGTCAGTGTCTGCCTGCCTCAACACCTCGCTGTTTCTTCAGACACACACACTCATCCACTGAATGAGTATTGTCACTGTGTCCTCTGTTTCCTGTACACAGCTGCCCCGGAGCCTTGCATCTTCTAAAACACAGCATCAGGCCCAGTGAAACTCTGTTTACAGCAGCTGTGACACAGAAATATACACACACACACGGCTGCAAGCAAAACAAAAACACTTTTAGTACAGAGAAACGCTGACTTTCAAGAAAAGAAAAGAGTCTAAATCCAACTTTTTACAATTTTTTTTGTCCACACACAAACACAAAAATTGAGAGCCAATCAGCAAAGCACGCTGCTAACAGTTGGAGGATTTCCTGCCTTGTCCATGCACACTTCCTGCACTAATAATCAGAGGAAGTATCTTGCCTGCAGCTGGATCAAGCTGAGCTGTGAGAGAAGTAATGCAGCTACCACAGGTTAATGCCACCGAGCTAACCAAAGCCTCAGCGCTGTGCTTTCACAGCAGAAAACCCCACAGAAAGCTCTGTGTTTGTCCTCTGTAGTAAACATCTGCTCCTCAAACACGGCCAATCGGACCATCCTGATAAAAGGGAAAGACTTAAAATGACGACAATCCCTTTCAGGTATTATGCAGCTGTGTCTGAAACACATTTATGATTAGAAACAAAAACAATAATATCATTAAAATGCTTTTGTGAGCAACACTTTTATTAAAATTAATTTAGGTCTTAAAACAGGTAAATGGAGGCACTTTCCCCAAGAAGGACAGTTCAAAATATGTGTTTAGTTTATAGTTTAGCAACAGTGTTTAAAAAAATGAAAGCTTTTATCCACTTCAAACAGGATTAATATGCAGTTATTCTTTCTTGTACTTAAACTGCTGAACAAAAACAAAGGTCAGGATAAAGAAAAGGGCAGCAAGTTACAAATTTCCTTCTTAAAACAAAGGATGTTTTGTAAGAGCCAGACTTATGCTGCGACCGTTTTGCTTGGAGCAGCAGCACCACTTTGATATAATTATCTAACTTGTTAAACAAGTGTGAAAAAAGAAAGTGTGACAACATGATGTTTTAATATGCAGCTCCCAGGCAGCTCCATGTTTACTTCTCCACTGTTAAGCATTAAACAGAGGAGACGACCAGCTTACAGGGCTAGGCGTTATTAGCAAAGGTGATTATGTTATTGCTGCTAATATACAAGAGTCGTTTTAGTCTTCAAATGAACACACAAGCCACCATAAGAGAGCAGAAACGGGAAGGAAATCTAGGATTCCCACCTGGACGTTGTCCTCTGTGACCTCGATCTCTGCTGTGTAAATATAGTCGACCAGTTTTCTCAGAGTCTGACCGTCCACCTCTCTGATCTCCACCTGGTGAGCTTTACTCTCACTCATATCACCTGCGCACACACAGACACACACAGCTAAGCATACACACAACTGTGTGCAGCATCATACACAACGCACCAACAATAGTGTGCATGTACCTGTGAACATGGCACAGAAGTAAGGGCTACAGGACGCCAAGACCACCCTGTGAGCTGGCACTTCAACGCTCCCGGCTACCAGCTGGACGTCACACAGCATCTTTTTACTGGAGGAAGGACAAACAGACGGCGTCATGTACGAGAACCTTCGACTGACGATGTCCATAACTAGACATCTGATTTTATCGCTTGCAATTTTCAGATTCGTCGTCATTATGTCATTTGCGCAGAAACACTCAATTTCCTAATGTTACACACCTACAAACACGACGTTTATTAGAAAGTAAATCTAAACAGACATGTGGCAGTAACACTATGAGATTAAGGCATTGAAACAACGAGAATTTAACTCACTTTTCGATAAAGACTTAAAAAAAATTACTGACATTAGAACATAAATATGTCACAGACATACGATAAACACAAAATAGAGCAACAGATAAGCATTAATGCTTCTGGTCATTCCAGTTGCTTTGTCAATTGAGAGTTCTGGAGGGATTATTTGAGTTGCGTCAAAAAATATAAGACAGAATTATTAAAATGTTTTTTGTACAAATGTGAAGTTAAATCTGCACTCAAGAGCCGAGCCAGGGAAGAGGGGCACCTTTGAAGTCAAAAAACTCTGGTATTCATCACCAGTTGATGAAATATCACAGTAAAATACATGAATCTGGGCCAGTTGTGTTGAGGTTCACATTTCACAATTAACAAGCCCACAGTCGTTTTTGTCATGCATGTGCAGAATAAAACATCCCCACCCAACAGAAGAGGTTTGCCAGTTTGACAGTGATTTGCAGTTGAAGTCTCTTCTTTAAAAATGCAACAGTTCAGTTCAGGCAGAAGTCATGTACTGCTGCACTGACATTTTCAGACAAGCCAGGTGAACAAGCGAAGACTTGCATGTCCTTTCTGGCTTACAAAACTCGATACGGCCTCTTCGTTCTCAAGTTAAAACGAAACGAAAAATTTGAGCAACGCACCTCCTCAGGTCGTTCATCAACTGAAACGCTTTCCTCATGTGCGTCTGGTTGAAGGTGTGCATCCCTCCATTCACCGTGTCCTCTTCTGAATCGGTGGCACATGGTGGACGCGGTGAGGCCGGTGTGGCAACCAGACTGGTAAGACATAAGAGGCAGTGTCTGGATCAGCGGATAGCGATGATGACAAAAGGCAACCACAAACCATAACAAAGCCTCCACCATCTTTTACAGATGACTGTAGACACTCACTGTTGTACATCTCCCCTCACCTCCTCTGTACATACGGATGATCTGAACCAAAAATAATTTTATACAGCTTCTTCTCTCCATAAAACTTGTTGCTACAGTCCAGTTCTTATGTAATTTGGCATAGCTCAGCCTTGTCTCCTCATTTCCCTTCCTTAAGAACAGATTTTGAACAGCCACCTATCCAATGAGACCATTTCTGATAAGGCTTCAGCAAACAGTGGACAGATCAACTGAAGGTTCATATGCACCTCTCAGATCCTGTGTCACGTCTTTGTGTAGATACAACACTGGCTCATCCTTGAGTTAGGTGCCTTTTTATCCTTGAATGGTTAACTGGTTAGTGTTAAGTAGAAAGTTTGGATTTCTCAAGACAATCAAAACAACAACAACAACAGAGTCTGGCTTCTTGGAAGCAAACTACAAAAAAATGAGTGTGTGTATACTCAAAGCTGATCCATTAGACTGATGGATGTCATCTTCGCGTTAATCCAAAGGTACCAAATAACCATTCAAGCATGTCTATTTAACTGAGGATACCTGCTCTATTCAAGATGATTGGAGGAAAGGTGTTCTTTGACCCTATCCTTTATTAAGGATTAAAGCTGGATACATTTTATGGTCAGTGCATCCTTTAAAAGGGTAAAAACAGGTTTCATTTCTTTTAACGAGCTAAGCAATTAGTGCCTATTTGCTGTGGAAGATTAACAAACATCTGCCACACAGATGGCATGTGCATATTACTGGTAACTTCTTTTACACGGGGACTGCACAGAAAAAGAAGCCCTCACACATGCTTACAAGGAAATGGGGGGAGAAAGAGCATGCAGACCCGAAGCTTCAGCCCAAACCTTAGGATATTAATTTACAAGCAAATGTGACCTGCAGCGAGCTGAAAGCACATCTGATAGTGTCGGACAGAAAAACCGCTGTTTATTTAAACAGTGCTTGGCCGTCTCCACCGTGCATGTACTGTACGGTGTGCTATCTTAACTCTCAAAACAAGCCGTCTCTTCACCCACAGATAATCAAGCATTTCGAAGAATTTATGATGCTGCACTGAAAAGTCCCAGTAGCTGCCCGGTAATTCGTTTTTGTTTAACAGCTTACGGTAAGCTTGTCTTCATGCGTCCAAAAAACCCAAATCAACAGGAAGCTGTTCAATTCATTTTAAGTTTGTTGTGGGTTAAGTTAGCTAGCTCCTAGCATTGCTAACCAACATATAACCTTATGACAGCCATGGATATCAACTGAAATCGTATTCTAAGCTACTTTAAAAATAATTACAAACCAACCCACTTTCAGTCAACTATCTACAGTCTGGTTTGGTTGGCTGCCATCAGCTGAGCAGCCAGTGATGCTAGCTGACTAACGGGCGCTAACTAGTCAACACAGCTAGCCCCGAGTTCGCGTGCTGTGAGCGAGCTCTCGAGCTGTCCGTGTTGGGTTTCTGGCCACTACATCGCGTAGGTTCAAATGTCATCCAGCAGATGCAGAAGCAGCCTGAATCCCATCTTTAGAAAACATAATCCCCACCGATGAGCCAACTCACCCCAACGACACACCGTCCATCCTCCCGGAGTCAGAGAACACAGCGGGCATGAGCGCCGAGCGGCCGGCTGCACGCAGATCGTCTATTAGAAAGATGAGTAACTCCGCAAGACTGGCATACACAGATGGTTTTATATGGTGACTCACTCCCTTTATTTTTATGCACATTTTTAAAAATAGTTATACAAACTGTATTAAAACACAGTAAGTCAACCTTTGAAAGATAATAAGTAATGACAAGAATTATCAACAAGACCACAATTTCATAAGAGTTATAGGGTTCATCGTTCTTTCTTTGTATCATTCGTCTTTTGTTGTCATTTCCAGTGAAAACAGGATCAGGGATCAACATTTCCCTGAAATTACTAAATGCTCCTCCCACGATAAACTTGAATTTCTCTTATCTTAAAAACACAACTGATTTGAATTTAAATTAGCTGGAGGATTATAATTCAGATATTCCGATTAACTAAAAAGAAAATGCGTTTCGATGCCTTTTGTTTCCATTTGCACTATAAAGGCAGCACAGTCAATAAATGCTTTTGCATTTGCAGGACTTCATGAGTACAATTGATTTTCCATCATCTGGCTAATCAAATCACTGTTTCAACTCTAACAAGAAATGTGAAATCCATCACCTGGTATAAAGCAGGGGCGTTACCAGCTACTTAAGATAACAGGAAATGCAGCAACGTTGTAGACATAAAATAAAGCCATTTTTTTGTTATTTTAGTTGTATTGCAAGAGCTGTTAGTCTTTAAATCTCTGCAATGGAAGGACTGCCAAAGTAAAAGAATTTAGATGACTTAAAAATCACATCTTAAATAGGCCCACATTATGAATATTTAGGTTTTATTAAATTGCAAGATTGTACAATCCAAAATTGCTTACTGGAGGGTTGTTTACCAACTGGTGGCCTGCATTTAGTCTAAGGAGTCAAATACAAATAGTCACATCTGGTCACATCTGCACTGAAAGAGTCCCATTTTAAAATCTATGGGAGCATTCAGTGATTGCAAATACCACGAAGCAAAATTCCTACCCATTATTGTGAGCTTTCAAACGTAAGTCAGCCACCCTTTGAATTCACATTTGAGCAAAAGGGGTATGCAGAACTATTTCTATAAGTTAATTGTTCCTATTTTAGCAGCACAAACATGCATTTAGTTTACTTCAGCAATAACAAAAAATAACTTGAGGAACTTTCTTCTATCAGTTGAGGTTAAAATAAAAATGCTTATAGGCTTTGTATTAGCACTTTTATGCACTATTTGCAAGGGATTCAGCAAATTATAAAAGTGGCTCAAAAAATAACTCTTTGGACTACAGTTAAAAAAATTACATATCAAGTTCTGCACGTAGTGTAAATAATGGTCGTCTCTATAATAAATCTTTCTAGCTCCACCCACTGTTTGACTTAGTATTTTACATTCACAGTCATCTGTCCAGTGATCGGAGCTTTATTCTGGCTTCCTGTGAGTCAGAGATTTTTCTGCTGTTGTAAAACACTGAACGGGTTGGTGTCAACAGCACTCCTCTCACAAACTCTAAAGGGAATAATTATGAGTTATACACCGGAACCTTCTCAGTTAGCCTCATTTAATATTGCTAATCTCACTCGCTATGAATTGAAGTTGACTTAAAATCCTATTTGTAACCTGTGAAAAACAAAAAAACCTGCAACCCTGTGCCTGAAGAACTGAACTCTGTGTGACCTTTGGGGAAGCTGTACCTAGATCCCTGTAGGGTGGCTTTGAAGGGAGGTTGTCATACAGTTTACAGGGAGTAAACACTGGGAAGCATGCTGAACATAGGCACGCTCAAATACACTGGAAAAGCAAAGCTTGGCCTGATATGTTTGGCATGTGAGAGGTGCTTCACATTAATATGCATTTAGAGTCTACGCTTGTGCACAATACATGTGGTTAGATAACAAAGAGAGAAGGTGTCAGCGGCACTTTGTCTTTCTCTGCTGCTCGTGCTTAAGTCTCGACACCCCAGGGGATCATTTTTACTCCTTAGGTTTTATTTTACATTTTCTATTAGGATCTGTTAATCTGGTTTAAATCAAGCATTATATCTAGCAAGATTATGCTCAAAATACTTTGCAAAACAAGCATTACAAATTAACGCTCAAACCTTTTGTGAAGTCTAACTTTTCATTAAATATATTAAACAGGATACAAGGCAAGGCTGCACAGAAACGTTAAAATCATAGGTTTTCCAGGCCTGTTTTCTGCATTTATTTCTGATTTCCTTCCTGGAAATGCACATTCTCATCTCCAGGCCTCTTAGGTCAGGTTTGTGATGAGCATGTGCATTTCCATGTACTAAACTGATAATAGAAGACCAGCATTCAGTTTTAAGTTCGCTCGAGGTCTCTTCCAACTCTCATTCCATTTAATCTAAAGCCAAAATGATTCAGTCAAACAATGAATGTATGCTACTAAACGTGCTTTATAAAAATCAGGCATGAAAGGAGTGATAAAATGCAGTGTACAGCTGTAACAACATCAGGTTATAACACTCAATGTTAAAAAGAAAAATACTTTCATATAAAAACACCCAGTATTTGGATATTTTCCAAACCAGAAACAGGTTCAGAGTGAGAGCTCTCACTTTATTCTTCCTTTGCCTGTGCACCTACTTTCCTCCATAAAATCTTGTAGGTCATGTAGGTGTTGCTGATGACATCCAGCCCTTACACAAGCGGATTTGGTACACACTTTAGCACCATGGCCAGTTACGTTCATCTATATCTGCCAATACCTAACACTTCTCCCCTTTGTTTGATGGACACTAAAGACTGGTTGCTCCCAGGTGAAAATATTTATCAGCTGGCTGAATCTGTGAGGGTTTTAGGAGCCTGATATTGTGAAAACCTGTCATCGATGAGTTTCTGTAGATCAACATGGAGGAAAAATAGAAAGACAACTGGTAAGTCTTAAAAAAATAAAAATAAAAAAAACAAAGCAGTTAATCAAAATGAGGATGCTCGTTTATTTTTTTATGTTGTATAGGAATAACAAATACTGCTTTGGTGATTCACCACCTCCAAAATGGCCGATGTAGCAGAAATCCATGATTTCCAGGCAATACTACCTCCTAGTGGTCGTTTCCTGAACCCAATTTAAAGAGGAGAGTTTAAGGATTTAAAAAGGAAATAAAAATAATTGTTCCCAAACGTTCCCAAAGTGGGGGGTTTAAAAGCACTTTCTGTTGATCTGAATTAAGACTGCGAGATTAGATAGATTTTTAAAACATTAAAAACTTTAATAAAAGCAGAACATAGGGGGTGAGCTGAACACATGAATTTCAAAGGATTTTAATCTAGGCAAAACAAAAAAAGAAAACAAAAAGAAAACTGGGACGGGAAAGTGGGGCAAGAGTACAGTGAAAATAGTCCCTGACATTTCTCAAAACAATAAACAAAAGAGAGCAAAGAAAAAAGTTTTAGGGTCAAGAAGCTGAAGAAATCCAGTCCCATGCTGCCGGACACTGCCACAAACTTTACCTAAAACCCTGAGTTCATGGTGTGAAAACAGGCAAAACTGACAGATCTGCAAATCAAACAATCGATTTTTTCTCATTTGAAGCAGTGACTGACAAAAATTATACTTAAAGAATTCAACATAACAAAATACAGTTCAATAATTCACAATTCTTAGTATTAAAGTCCATAACGTGTGGAATAAGAGGACAAGAAGGGAAGTCCTGGTGGGGGGTGGATGGGATCCAGAAAGCAGGCTGTGTGGGTGATGGGCGTTGCTTCTTTTTAATTGAACTCGAAGACCACCTCTCACCCCCTACCTGGACATGTGTAGCTCGTGTGTGTAAATCAAGTCCATTTCAATTAGAAATGAATCTCTCATCGTTTGAGGGCGCCATTAGTAGCCGCTGCTAAATCCACCACCCCTGTTATAAGGAGCCCCGCTCCGGTAAGAAGTATAGTTGCCCCCCTTCATCGCTCCGTAACTGGAGTGCTGCTGTCCATAGCCGTCCCCAAAGTCCCCATTGCTGTACCCGCCACCCATCTGGCTGTCGTATTCGTCGTATCCCCCGTAGCCTCCGTAGCCATCCCCCCCGTTATAGCCCCCGCCGTAGCCGTAGCCACCCCCGTAACTACCGCCGTAGCCGCCTCCGTAGCTGCCGCCGCCGCCTCCTCTTCCGCCGCCGTAACTCTGCATCCCTCTCCCTCGACCCCTTCCTCCCCGGCCGCTGGTGGACATTTCCTGCTTGGTTAGAGCCTTTTTCACCTCCACCTTGTTCCCGTTGATGGTGTGGTATTTGGTCAGGACCGCTTTGGTGGCGGAGTCGGTATCCTCGAAGAAGACAAAGCCGAAGCCTCTCTTCCTGCCGGTCTGCTTGTCGGAGATGATCTCGGCCTTCTCCACCGCGCCAAATTGCGAGAAGTACTCGGTCAGGTTCTCCTCAACGATGTGGTCTTTCACGCCGCCGACGAAGATTTTCTTGACATTGGCGAGTATGTCCGGGTTGTTGGCATCCTCTCGCGCTATGGCCCTTTTCACCTCCACGTTGTTGCCTTCGACGACATGTGGCTTAGCGGCCATTGCTGCGTCGGCCTCCTCCGGCGTGGAGTAGGTGATGAAACCGAAACAGCGGGAACGTCCAAGCTGCTGGTTCATGACCACCACGCAGTCGCTAAGGGTACCATACTGCTCGAAGTACTTGCGGAGGCCTTCATCGGTGGTCTCCACGTTCAATCCCCCAACAAAAAGCTTACAAAGTTTGGATGTCATGGTTCCTCCGGAGGATGGTGCGCAGCTCAGACCGTCCCTCTTCTTCAATGAACCGACGTAAGGGCGGGCCGTTTCACTCACGTCTTCGTAAGACGTTCCTCTCGCTGATTGGTCACCTTAAACCAAATCACCCCCTCACAATCGGCGCGCGATTGGCGTCACTGTCCTGTTCCCTTCAGGTCCCATCGGAAATCTTAATTTCCTGAAAAAGGACCGCGTAAATTTCGACCTTTGTTTTTCTTCGAATACAGTAATAAAGCTACACCCCCGATAAATTAATTTTACTTAAAACACATAAAACGTCAATCCGTGTTTTATTTTGTGTCGCACTTTAGACCCACTGGGACAAAATATATTTTTTCCAAGTGTGTACGTGAACCACGTTCAACCCTAAAATAAACGAAACTCATAAGCCTGAATTTCATGTTTTATTTTTTTAAGTGTATATTAGCTCTGCATGACTGGCTGTTTCCAGCAATAACAGCTGTGAAATGCAGTCATTTCGCTGTTAAACTATTATGATCAGAGAAAATCTGAAGTCGCTACAGCCTTAATAAATTAGGTTAGCTGGAGGCAGGCGCTTCACAATAAATGCAACTTCTCTCAGCGCCCCTCCCCCCTTGTTCCTGGAACACGATTTGAGCCCGACAGAAGCGAATAACTCCCATCACATAGTCTGACACACGAAAAGCATTTTTCCTATCAAATTCAGCTTCTTAGTTTGATCCACCTAATTTCTGATTGAAAAAAAAAAGACATTTTGATAGGACACCTTGTGGAGATTGTTCTGCAAGCCATTTAAACTTCAGTCTTAGTGGTCGTGCAGATCTGAAATGTAAATTATGTTAATTTAATTCTATGTGAATTTTCAGTAGTGGTAACTGAGATTGGATATAATTTATTCATTTAACACATACTTATTTATCTTGTTTGGCAAACATGTTGCAAAACACCAACTGTAACCAAGTGAAAATACAGTTAAAAGGTACCACCAAGGTTTTATTATTATTGCCACTATTGAACTATTATTTCAGCTAGTTATTTAGCCAAAACATGCAGCAATGTGCAGGCAAAACCAAAGTGGAAGGAGGCCAAATAGGAGTGATGGTGATGGGCAGACCTCCACAAGGCACCTTCAAAACTGGTACAGTATGTGCTATGCATATGGAAAAACCATGAAATCCAAGCTGTATTATGGAACACATGGGATGGACAGTAAAGAAGGGCACTCTGCATGTTTTATAAAACACCCCTAAAACAAAAACACATACCAGCTTTACATCTCTGGGCTCCCACCTCTGCAAACCCTCCACCCAACAGATTGAAAACAAGCAATCAGACTGCCCTCAGTGTAAAAAAGCAACATAACAGACATCTTGATATACAAAAATATATTGATTTATTGTGAATTCATAAAAAGAAAGGCCAACATAAGTTTCCTTTTCCTACAGGGTGATCAGAATTCGCCAAGCACCATCATCCTATAAAAAAAAAAAAAAAGGTAAGAGAACAAAAGCATAATTTACACTCATGACCACATCAAGCAGTTTATCTCAGCACAAAACCTCAGATTGGTTTTCATTTTTTATTATTTAAACCCTAACAAATACTTAAGATTACAGTGGGAGTTTTAGTCAACTCTTGTACTGATTTTCTAGTGCTCATTAAAGCCAAGACATCAAGTATTGTCTTGCATTTCATCATTGAAGCGCTCTTTAGAACATCTTTCAATTAATCTGAGAAAACTGCTTCAAGAACCACAAAGACCAAGATTCACTTTTAGACAGTGGTCAGCAGACTTGAAGACTTAAAGCAGTGCTGGAAAAACCAAATAGCTGAATATAACAGTCCACTCTGTGTAGATGACTAGTTTGGTCTACAGTGTTTGTTTATGCAAATTCCGAGTGCATTATGGCTTTTACCTGATACAAAGTAGCATCATCTCCCCTCTGTTCAATTATATATGACTAACGTTCATTGTCAAATGTGGAGGCCGTTTTAACAGCTAGCCCACTTTGCAGCTGTTGAACACTTTAATAATTTAGGTAAGAAGCATTGAGCTGCAGTGGGGTCTGCCACCATCTCCCATGTTTTTATTCCCCACCCCTTCCATTTACTGACCCGTCATGTTTTAATTTTACAACCATCCATTACCACATTAAAACCCGACAAGTGGGTTATTTTAATTACTTATTTGCAAGTTAATAAAATGAAATGTGAATTCAATTCTGTAGACAAATGTAGAGTCAACTGTGTTGTTTACAAAGATCAACTAGATTTTTACTGGTCTTGCAAAACAAGTAAAACCAGAACTACAAGAGCCATTTGAACAGTTTCCCTTTGGCCAAAACCCCACAAAGCATGTGACTGACTTGAAATGCATCTTAAAAAGCTTTACAATTATCAGCTTCAAGTGTTAAATACTTTTGAAACAGCGCAAAAACGCCCATGCTCCCTATGAACATTGGTGGTTTCCAACCAAGATGTTGAATCAAGTAGAAAATTCTCAGACTTGACCTCAATTTTATTTGGGCACTGTTACTCAATGCCAAGTTCTCCTTTCATACGAGGATTTATTCTGGTATTAAACACAAGTTAATAAGTTACCTAGATGAAAGTCAAAACTGTAAAAGCTCAAATACACCAAAAAGAACACACTAACGAGGACTAAGAAAACGCTTTATTTTAGAAGGTGTTCCAGACCAAAAAGGCTAGAAAACCCCGATTTGGATTCAGTACCTTTTTTTTTTTTTAAACAAATGCATCAAAGGTGTACACTGGTTAGTCAGTAGCACTGGGGTACTGTATAATCAAAATTCCCTGGAAACCCAGTAACAGTTCACATTAAAAAGCACATTAACACTGCCTTTGACCACACCGGGGGAATCCTCTGAAAACTGACTTCACCTGTGGGGGAAGAAGGCACAACCACTCTTTGGTCCCCACTGTCAGCGTGGAGAGACACACACCCCCATCGTTTCGGGGGTTACCGTCCTCGTGCCCAGGTTACAGAAGCAACCTGGAGGAGATGAGAAAGAAAACAACAGGGTGAGATTCTGCACCGAGCAAAGCTTCTCTGGAGGAGACTCCAATTTACTTGTTCCATCGTTTCATTTAATTATGGAACAATACTTGGACCCCCTTCCAACCCCCATCAAAAAATAATTAACCCACCCACCCCTCCCTTTTATTTATTTTAAGATTAGCTATATAAGACGCTGATAAATTAAATAATGGCACACGTGTGCACCATCTCAAAGATATGCCATACAATGACCAACACAGAGTGAAGACAGGTTGATTTACATACCTAGTTTGCTGGATGTGGATATCCTAAAGAGATATTTCAGACTCCTATCACAATCGACCCCAGGTAATCAACAGGGTCCTGATGTAGCCTACAAACAAACTGCTACGGCTATTTTGGCTGGGATAGCCTACTGGAATAAGAGTAAGAACACCTAAATGTAGGAATAATCAAAGATAAATATCAGAGCCCTCATGTCCACATAAATATATGTATTCAGAAGAAAAATAAAGAGTTATTAGCAATATCTAAAAACCACAATTTTAAAACAACGTCACACCCTACAAAGCCTACATGCATTGGCTGTGGGTAGACAACCATTAACCATTTCACCCACCTGAGTGTAAGGGAATAAACTGTGGGAATGATGCCATGTAACTAAAGAGCAACAAGGTGATGCCACTTATATACCTGTGGATGAACTTGAGGAAGCCTGGTTAAATAAGTAAAATAACTAAGCTAAGTGGTATAACGTTTTATTTAAAATGAACATACATGAGCATAGCAAATTGTTTTTTTAACAGTAGGTTTTGTTCTCCAGACATGAAAGTATACAATATACATTAGATATTGCTACAGGTAAAGGAAACATGAACAATATTTAGACTGAGACTGGCTGAGAGGTTTGGTACAATAAGGGAGAAGGAAACAGTGGTCCTGCATCCCGTCCCGCCTTTGCTGAATGACCCAATAAGTAAATAATACATATGTCCGTTATCAATAATGACATAGCTATGAAAAACCATAAACATGCTTTCTCATCCTCATACATTGAAAAGTCACACTAAGTTTTCTGCAGAAAAAAACAAAATCGAAAACGAACTGCTTTAAAATGCAAATATTAAAAATAAATCAGAACTTGTCAGAAAAACAATCCTACATCGAAAAAATCCAAAAACAACGAGTGAACGCAAATAAAAAATAAATTCAACTCTAGACGACAACTAGACGCCGGAGGCGTGAGTACATAATAAAAAGCGATGTTATTCTTCGTCTTAATGTGTCCTAGTTGAACGGCAACAACCGCTTCTCGTTATAATCAGGTGTTCTGGGAAGTGACCTTCCTACCTGTTTGGGTTTGGAGGTCTTCGTAATGATTTGGGGGAGGGGGTCTTTGTGTCCGTATCTCTGCCATGGTTGGATTTCACGGCAGACGCCCCGTTACTGGCTTTACTCTTGGCGTCCAATTCCGGGCTGAGGGGAGAGGGCAATTTGTGGGACAATAGTAGGGGTTGCTTTCCATCGTGCAGTCTCATTTAATAGCCGCCGCCGCCGTAGCCCCCCCTTGCGTAGCCGCCACCGCCGCCGCCGCCTCTGGTGTAGGGAGCTGCGCTCCTCTGGCCGCCGAAAGGTGGCCCTTTCATGGGGCCATAGCCAGAAGGATGCTGACCATAGCCGCTGCCAAACTCATTGTAGCCGTTGCCACCGCCATAGCCACTTCCCTGATCTCCATAGCCACCCCCATATGGCCCGCTGCCGTACCCTCCGTAGCCGCCACAGTTGTAGCCTCCGCCATTACCGTAGTTGTAGTTTCCGCCATAATCCCTGCCGCCGTAGCCATTTTGATTTCCTCTCATACCTCTACCGCCTCTGCCTCTCGGTGTCATAGAGGTTCTGTTGGCTGCCTGCATCTCCTGTTTGGTCAGGGCTTTCTTTACCTCAACTTTGTGTCCTTTGACGGTGTGGAATTTCACGACAACCGCCTTATCGGCCGAGTCGTGATCGGTGAAGTACACAAAGCCGAAGCCCCTTTTCTTTCCGGTCTCCTTCTCTGAGATCACTTCGGACTTCTCGACCTGCCCGTACTGGGAGAAGTATTCGGTCAGATGCTGCTCTTCGATGTCGTCTTTCAGACCGCCAACGAAGATTTTCTTCACCTTAGCGAGGGCCTCGGGCTTGTTTGCGTCTTCTCTTGCCACGGCTCGCTTCACTTCGACCGCGTTGCCATCGACGGTGTGCGGCCTAGCCGCCATTGCCGCGTCGGCCTCCTCCGGCGTGGAGTAGGTTACAAAGCCGAAGCAGCGAGATCGCTGGAGCTGCTTGTTCACGACGACAACGCAGTCGGTGAGCGTGCCGTACTGCTCAAAATGCTTGCGTAGGCCATCGTCGTCGGTGTCCACGTTGAGCCCACCGACGAAAAGTTTACAAAGCTGGTCGGTCATTTTTGAAAAATGGCGAATCGATTACACCCGAACACCGTCAACAACGCTCTGAACTCAAGATGGAGGTGGGGGAGAACGCAGCTGTATTTATATCATACGCGCTGTGACGACATGCTAGGCTGACTATTAGCGCCGCCTTTTCCGGTCCACTGCTGTTTCTTTTGTAGAAAAAGACTGAAGATACATGAATAATCCATGATTTAAAAACACTTAACTACAGTGAATAGTTTTGGCCATGCTACCCTTTTCTCACGTATTACCAAACCACATCGATCTCAAAAACTTAGACCTTAAAACATGGAGGTGGGGAACCTTGTTATGTATTGCGTATCTCCTCCTCATTATTTTAAAGAGTGCGAGGCTATGACCCAATAAATCGGATGAACAAAAAAAGACTTATTCAGACTTATTCTCTTTTCCATCTCTCCGAAATATGGCATTGGAAGATTTGCTAATGAAATTACAATTTTTATATTTGGTTTTATCTACGGAAGAGGATTAGGGCCACTGGAAAAAAAAGTGGGCACGTCTTTTCCCTCTTCTTTTCCAGAATCCTGAGATTGAAGTCAGAATTCTGACTTTTTTCTCAGAATTCTGGAAAAGAAGAAGAAGAAAAAAAAGACGTGCTCACTTTTTCCCCAGCAGCCCTAATCAAGGTTAGAAAGGCTGTAGAAACTAGTGTGTGAAATTGTAGCAGACATTATTTTTCACTAATTTACACAAACAGCAAATGAGAAAAATACTGGATTAATCTGGAGAAGAAAACCTTGTCAGTGGCTGATGTGTTTTCTGCAGAAGTTGCAGGTTTCGGTTGTAACAGATAAGCCAATCATCCTGCCTATTTCCCCTTATCTTTCCTGCCACGATCTCCATGTAAGTGATCAAACACAAAGAAAAGGCCAATTCCCCTCGAATCCTGACGTCCTCGGGCTACGGTGATGTAGTTTCAGGTGAAAGACACGGCACTTGATTTAATTACCTTGTGCAGAGAATAACCACACCTACCAACAGCTTGTGGTAATGCAGATTTCAGAGCAGACAAGAGCAAAGCAGACGGCAAACAAAGAAACACCAAAATCAAAGTTTACTGAAACCTTTATGAGGCATATTGCTCATGAAACAATCCCCATTTCTACTCTACCAACACAAACACACAGGACAGTCTGTGTCTGCACAGATACAGCTCCAAACTATAGATGGACACAAACGAGGTGACTCTGCTGATAAAACAACAGATGGAAGAAAGGACCGACCACAAAATTGATTATGTTAACCTGCATTTTTTGAGTATTCTGGGTGTTCAGGCTTGATTTTCAGTGTGACCTTTAGGTCCTCCTCCATATTATTTTATATCCCAGTCCTTCTATAGTACGTTTGAAAGCCATAAAGGTTGAATGTGACTCCTCTCCTCCTCCTGTCTTTGTAAGGAAAGACAAAGTCTTTACCTTCAGTAAAGGCATGTGAATGTATATTAAATGAAATGGTCTTAAAGCCTGTAATAATGGTGCTGCAAGCAGCTTCAACATAGAGTACAAGACTGGTAACGCAGCGCCATTGTCCTTCTCTTTATTATCGAGGCTTCACTGGGAAAATAGTTATGAAATTCAGACTGTAGGCAACGTCCAGTTGACTAAAAATCACCCAGAATGTCTTTTTTTAAAGGCAAAATTTCAAACAAACTGAAATAAACACCAAACCTGTCACACCAAAAATGGGAAGACTGTTTTTTGTGTTTTTCATTTGGAAGCTAAAAACATCAGAGATGGTTTTCTTGTCTGAAAACTTAGTACATTTCTTTACGGGAGCAAGTACCGCTTAATTTATATTACTGTCTGTGAAACTACGAGCTTCTCCAGATATGAGAAATTATAAGCAAAAACCGCTTGACTTGAGGATATTGAAGGCTACATCAGGTTTTAAACACCCGAGAAAACACTCAAATTTACACAGCAATCTGTGCAGATGGCAAATTTTTTTTTTTTTTTTAATGACATTTCTCTAAAACTCCTGAATTTATAAATGAAGATCAAGTCCTACCAAATATTTACATTAAAACTGAAGCCTTTTGTAGCCCAAAACATCCTCCAGTTTCAATCGTGAGGGAGATAAATGTAATTAATCCAATTAGGTAGTTTAAAGGAAGCATTTAAAAATATTCCCTAACAACCAACATAAACATGGCTATAAGACAAACGATGTAGACAGCATGCACCACAGGAGGAGATGTGACTAGGAAGCCATGTCTGTTCACAAAAAAGGCTCAAATCTTGTGTTAATGGTTAAAGTAGCGACTTAACACATTTCTGCCACATTATTTCAGTAACAAACAACATTTGTAAAAGGAAAAAAGTCAAAAGTAACCTCAACAGGATTTTATTTGTTGTAGTAAAATCAAACATCTATCTAGCAGTTTTTCCACTCTTCAGTCTTTTTCTCTACTCTCTAATCTTCAGTGTGAAGGCCTGTAAGATAATGACAATGCTGATAGTCCATGTGCTTGAATGGATCAGATTAAACAACTTCTAGCCACATCTAAAACAGAGTCTTAAAGGAGAGGAGCCCAGTTTGTCAGATAAAATGGAGGGGGTGGGGGGGGCACGGGGTCTGGGTGGGCTAACTTGAGCTGATCATGTAGAGGAACTGGATGGGATGGGGTGGTGGAGTCTCCACGAACATGTGGGTTTTGTCTGTGGGAGGAAGGGCACTGGATCACAGCTCCACAGGTGGCTCTGAGCAGGCCGGGTCACAGGTGATGGGCGACGGGCCGTATCTGATGTGGTTGATACTCAGAAGCGTCATCCGAGCAATCACATGATGTACACTTTCTCCGCCTGAGAGAAGTTGAAGACTTCTTTGGTTCTGGGACACACCACTTTGTCATCTTGGCGAATGGACAGAAGAGACTGGAAGAGATAATAATGAAATATCAAGGAGTGTTTTATGAAACTTTATCATCCTTTAAGTCTGCATTTTAAATTGCTTCAACATGGATGGAAGCACCTTCATACAGTCCCAGCTGGCATCATGCAGTTTACTCACATTGTAGCCGTAAACATATCCATTAGGCAGCATCATGGGAGGGTTGTTTTCATTCATGACCTCTCCAGAGATTTTACAGACTAGTCTGGAATTGGCGCAGTGGGCCATGGGTAGAGGCTGAGCCAACTTGTTAAGAGATTTACTGCACACTGGGCAGTCTGGGTTTTTAGAGGTGCCATCCTCCTTGTAGCACTGACTGGTTTGGAAATGGGAGTTAAGGATTAATGCAGTTTAGGGAATAACACACAGAATAGACCCCCCTTAGAACAAAAAGCACTATCCATCTTCATATAGCTTAAGAAGTTGAAATGACAGGGTTAAGAGTAACCACACACTGGAAGGATACGGTGTCTTGATGGCAGACAGACCAGCCTGCAGGGTGATGGTGAAGACAGAGTTGTTTCCCAGCTGATGCAGTCTGTAATTGTCATATCGGAACTGCTGGATCAGCATCTTCCAGCGGGCTGGATCCAACAGATCCTGATAGATCAGAAAGAAAAAGAGAAAATAACATTTCTGCATTTCTGAAAAATTAATAAATAAATAATCAAGTTTAATTTGGCACAGACGGCTTTTATAATTTGTACAATATAAAAAAAGTCTGAATTAAACAAAAAGGTCTACTTTTGTGTATAAAAGGCATACATTTGTCTTTGGTCTGCACAGCTTAAAACACAACTGAAGCTACATTTGAAGGAGAGTCAATGTGGGTTAAACAGGAGACAATGCTGAGTTTCGTTTACACAAACAGATCACGACTCATCATTGTTTGTATTTAGTTTCACAGTTCTGTTTATTTATGATATGCATCTATTTTACTCTCCTAGTTCAGTCTCTAACCAGTCCACATTTTCCAACATGTCGGTTAGCCAGGTTACTGCTGTGCCAGCCCAGCCAGCCAGCAGGTAGAGAAACATGAGGGAGAAGGATCATGAGATGGTCCAACCTTCATGTGTCATGTGTAGAGTGACAACTTGTGAACTGAATAACGAACTTAAAGCTCAACTCTTCAGTGTGACACTATAATCATTAGTTCATGTGCTGCTAATGGTTCGAAACGATTTTTCAGACCACAAGTCCTGCGAGTCAGAACAGCTCATTATACAATGAAGTACATTTAACTGCCCACTGGTAAAGATCAAAACAACACTGCTAGTAGTTACACCATTCATTTTTAATTTTTTTTTAAATAGTACCCGCTTTAGATCGTCTGCTTTGACAGACATCGACTTGCTTTTTTTCATAACTTTGTTGTTTGTTTGCTTGTTTTTGTTTAAAACATGAAGAGAAGAGAATTAACACTTAATAACTAAAAGCAAAAGCCTAAAACAAAACTGGACGCCAGCTAAAAAGAAATAAACACACAAACCAAAAAAGGAACACTTTTGAACCCTGCTTTTTGTTCAGATAGCCTCTGTCTCACCAATACATGTTTGGACTGG